GAAGCTACAACAAAAACAAGAAAAATAAAAGATTTAAAAGCTAAGAAAAATCTTTGTAAAATAAAACAAACCCAAATGACTTTACCTGCCATTTGCCAATGTAAAGTTTCATAGGGTTCAAAATGGATACCCATAACTCTCTTTTATCGATATTACAATGCTTTGTTACAATGTAAGAAGCCTTTTTGCTTTGAAGTTTCTCTGTTTGTGCTGCCATCTCGATTGAATCGTTTAGAAAAAAGGCCGAAGAACTAAGAACTAAGAGCAGAAGAATTAAAAAATTTAGAAAAATCGGATCTAGAATCGAGAGAGAAAAATTGAGAGAGTTTTAGAGAACTACAAATTGATAAATGATATTTTTTTAAGCCTTCAAAACAATTCCATCCCTATTTTATAGTTTGAATTTGAATTTAAAGAAATTAAATCTTTATCTTTTAAGATTAGGATTTTGAAAATTAAATCCTTTATCTTTTTAAGATTAAAATTTTGAATAAAATCCTTATGCCTTCCACAATCTTTATTTATTGCACTATTAACCGATGATTTTACTTTTATGTATATATATATATATATAAAAAGTAGTGTGTGCTCATAAATATATATTTAGTAGAAGAAAAATTATTGGAACATATTCCATAAAAAGAGTGATGGGATAAAAGTGTCGATGATGTGAAATTACGAAAATGCCATTGAGGAGACTATAATTTAATTTTAATTTCTTATTTTTCAGTTATTCCAGTTTCCTGACAAATTTTGAGAATGTACATTCAACCCGACAATCCAACAACTCGAACCAACCTAACCCGAACTATAAGAGTTGGGTTGAGCTTATTTTTCTTACCCAAACGGTTTCGATTCGATTTTTGGTTCATGGAATTAAACCTCGACCAAGTCAAATAAAAATATATAAAATATAATAAGAAATTTATAGTAATAATAGACACTAGCTAATCTAATACATTAATTCTTTTAATTATTTAATTTTATTTAGTTATATATATATATATATTTAAATATCTTAACATTTCATACTATTTTAAAACACATTAGTGTAATAAATTAATATAACTATTGGTACATTTTATACTATTAATTATGATTTATACCTATATATATATATATATATATATGCTATAGTGTTCAATATTCATAGAATACTATTTGAATAATTTTAAAGTGTATTATTTTTTGTTTACCGATTATAAAATGAATTTTTTGAAACTCAAAAATGTCTATATTTAGGTTGGTTGGAAAGGGACGTTGAAGTTTTTTAGAATTTTTTTATTTTCTATCTATCATTTTTATCATCCGATTTTGGAAAGTAAATAAATTTAAATACCGAGTAAATAAGTTGTCCAAAATATTTTGACCGTTCTAGTGTTTACTGTACCTCCTCGATCAAGATGTAATACAAGCGCAAGAATTTTTGATTATTTTAAGAATTCTTTTAACACGAGATACAAAATTAGATATTAATAGATTTAAAAATTTTGTTATAAAAATGAAAATAATTCTAAATTTTAATATATTTATTATCTATTTGTTACCACATTGTTATATCACAATTATATATATATATATATATATATATATATATATTTTTCCAATACTTTAGGGCTTTCTAACTTTGAAGGTTAGTCTATTTCAATTAAAATATTTGTACAAAAAATTCCCCCAACTTCGACCATGTGCAACCTACTACCGAATGTCCTTAATGTATGTTTCACGTCCTAAACTCTTCCCATTCACTTAGAATTAAATAAAATTAACATTTGAGGGTTTATCTAAGTGATTCCTACCCGTAACTTTGTGAGAATTTGTACAAATATTTTCAATTAAAATATTTGTACAAAAAAATTCCCTCAACTCAACCCAACTTAGATCATGTGCAATCTACTGCCGATTAAGACAATTTCCTATTCATTTAGAATTAAATAAAATTAACATTTGAGGGCTTATCTAAGTGATTCCTACACGTAACTTTGTGAGAATTTCGAGGTTGCTACTAATTCAATCATGTTTGGAAGCTCAGTTAAATTAAGTAAAACCTAATAGTAGTTTGAGAAAATCAGAGGGGTGGTTGGTTTAGTTAAACTGGCCACGTCATCTGTCTCCTACCTATTGAAAGGGAGGAGATGCATGTATCGTGGTTTTGAGGGTCTAAAACTCGACCTCACCCATTTGCTCTAGTATGTATTTTACGTTTGTTTGTTCTTCAAACCTCTAACACTGTCGTCAAGGAAGCATTGGAAATTGGTTTGTAAGATCCACAAGGTTAAGATACTCTGGGTAAGTTTAAGGTTCTCAAATGAAGTTTAAAAGATTCTAGGAAAAGATTAAGAGACTCAACACCTTACGGCACGAGCTGACGACAGCCATGCACCACCTGTGTCCGCGTTCCCGAAGGCACCCCTCTCTTTCAAGAGGATTCGCGGAGAAATTTTCAATGACCTATCAAGTTGTTTATAAGGACATAAGGCCTTTGAACAAGATTTAGAAAGGAAAAAATAAGCATCAACAGCAAAAAGACCATTTTTTAACAAACTCTAAGTAGATAGAGGAGCTTCATTTGAGGCATTGGATTCATTCTATTTTGTCAAGAACATAGAATAAAAAGGTGAGTCCCATGGGATTGTAGGTCTCAGTTTTTTTCTCAAAATTCGTGACCATATGTATGAATTAGTATGTAAGATCTTAGCATGATTCTTCACATTTCTGTGAAGGAAATCGGAATAAAATTGCAAGGAAAGTAGGAGGTCCAAGAAGCCTCCAAAAATTGTAAGAACTCATAAATTTCAAGTAAGCTAGTATCTAAAAATTATTAAAAGAAAAAAAAGAAGAATACTATTGTATGTTAGATAAATACAGAGATCGAAAATCATTCATAGTCTTTAATTACGGTTTTTTAGGTAACTATAAGGTTTAATTAAGTTGCCCACTTCTTCCATTTTCCATTTTTCATTTTTACTATGTAATTTTTTATTTAAATATCTCAATTCAAGGAGGAATAAGATCATCCCGTCTTCAAGCACAATTGTCTCTCTCCTTTGTTTTCAATTCAAGGAGGAATAAGATCATCCGGTTTTCAAGAATACTATCGTCAACGATTTCCTCCTCTGTCAAAACATCATTTTTCTTCGGTCAAAACAACATTGTATAGAGGGATGAAACTCTACAACTTTCGTGAAGAAATTAATTTAATCCGAATTGTGTGCATGAAGATATGGAAGTCCAAAGAAAATAGGTTGAACTAAATTTTATCATCATAATCTAAGAATTTGCACTAAACGAATTCGTGCGCACGAAGGGAAAATTCTTCTGGCTTAGGCGACCAATCACCCGGCGAACGAAACTATTTGGTGTCACTATGTGTAGAATATAACCCGCCCGACGATGGACGAAACTATAGACTGATATGATAGATCTCACTCATGATCGTATGTATTTGCATTTAGCCCTAATAGTGGGTCACTTACTAAGTATTTCTAAAATACTAAACTACTCTCTACTTCTATTTTAGGTAAAGACAAGAGATTCTTGTAGGGTGACATCACATTCGAGACCATGACACGTGTAGGATAGTTGCATTTATTTTTGCATTTATTTTTTCACACTTTAGTATTTAGTAGTGTCGTTTTAATGATGTTTTTGAACACATAAATCCATGATAGTATTTTAAGATGAAGTTTATGTTTTATGATGAAATTTAAACGCTTATTTCGACACAAAATGATTTTGTTATGATGAAGATAGAGACTCTAGGTAAATAGAAATCTAGGGTCGTTACATCGTAGGCAAGAGTTCATCATTTATTCAGGATTAAGATCGAGTCGCATATAATCATGATGTGCAATATTAATCTTCTCAATTAACAGATTCATAAAAAGAGATTAAATATTTATTTGTTCAGTCTTGTAAAAACTCATTTTATTAGATACTCCACTCAAATGTCTTCACATGAACGACTTTGATCAAATTATTTGTAACGATTACAAAGTGGGTAGTATCAATAGTGTTAACATGATAAGATACCCATCTTTATCCATATACTAAAATTCATTTAGGTTATTACTTGAATATGATCATTTTGTATGTCAACCACATATTGTTCAAGATAGGGGTGTACATCCAACCCGACAACCTGGACCAACCCAACTCGAATTCTGGGGTTGTGTTGAGTTGGATTAATATTTCGGGTTGGGTTGGGTTGCATTTTTTGAACTCGAAGTGACTCAGTTCGACTTCGGGTTCATAGGATAAAAAACTCGGATCGACCCAAAACCATACAAAACTTATAAATTGCATTGAGAATTCTGGTATATATATATTATTATTATTATTATTATTATTATTTTTTTTTTTTTGTTATGTATCGTTCTTATCTCATCATTTTTATTTTTCTATCCTTATATTTTTCTCATTTTTAGAATAATCAATTATTGTTCAACCATTTTAAGGTGTTACAACTCTTTTATTATGGTTGTTGATGAATTTGTTTTTTTTTTTTTTAATAATTATAGATTGATTTGGGTTTGTTTATGAAACTCAACTAACAAATAGAAGATTGTGCTGGGTAGGTTGTGAAAATTTTCGGGTTGGATTTGGTTACCAATCCAACCAATCAAACTCTTAGATTGGATAAAAAAAATCCCTCAACCCAGCCCAGCTCAACCCAACTCGGACCATGTATACCCCGAGTTTAAGATTACATTAATTACCTTAGATTTTTATATAAGCAATAACATTAAATGGTAAATAAAATAATAAAAAATTATTATTAACTATTAAATAATTAATTACAAAACTAGTTTTAGGGCATAAATTCAATCCCTCTTAAATCCGATACCATTTGTTAGAATCACACAACTCAGAAGTCAATCTATGGAAAGGCAAATATACATGGAGACATTGGAATGTAAAACTTCCCAACGACTAGAGTTTATTTATAGATGACTTAAAATAGTATAATAATCGATATAGATAAAAAAAAAAAAAAAAACCTATTTTAGAAACGTTGGGAAGTAAATAATTGAACTTTCTTGCTGAGAATTTGATAGTCTATTAGGATAATTATTGGTCGGCTCATTTGAAATTACATTAGGATGCATTATTCGCCCATTCGAGAGGCTGATGCAACCATTTGAGTACCCATTTGAAATTCCATTAGGATACATTATTGGCGCATTATTGGGAGCAGCATCAGCTGGTTGGAGCATTTGAATCTGATGTGTTGAGTTGGGATCAGCATCAGCTGGTTGGAGCATTTGAATCTGATGTGTTGAGTTGGGATCAGCATCAGCTGGTTGGAGCATTTGAATCTGATGTGTTGAGTTGGGAGCAGCATCAGCTGGTTGGAGCATTTGAATCTGATGTGTTGAGTTGGGATCAGCATCAGCTGGTTGGAGCATTTGAATCTGATGTGTTGAACTGGGATCAGCATCAGCTGGTTGGAGCATTTGAATCTGATGTGTTGAATTGGGATCAGCATCAGCTGGTTGGAGCATTTGAATCTGATGTGTTGAACTGGGATCAGCATCAGCTGGTTGGAGCATTTGAATCTGATGTGTTGAATTGGGATCAGCATCAGCTGGTTGGAGCATTTGAATCTGATGTGTTGAATTGGGATCAGCATCAGCTGGTTGGAGCATTTGAATCTGATGTGTTGAATTGGGATCAGCATCAGCTGGTTGGAGCATTTGAATCTGATGTGTTGAATTGGGATCAGCATCAGCTGGTTGGAGCATTTGAATCTGATGTGTTGAATTGGGATCAGCATCAGCTGGTTGGAGCATTTGAATCTGATGTGTTGAATTGGGATCAGCATCAGCTGGTTGGAGCATTTGAATCTGATGTGTTGAATTGGGATCAGCATCAGCTGGTTGGAGCATTTGAATCTGATGTGTTGAATTGGGATCAGCATCAGCTGGTTGGAGCATTTGAATCTGATGTGTTGAATTGGGATCAGCATCAGCTGGTTGGAGCATTTGAATCTGATGTGTTGAATTGGGATCAGCATCAGCTGGTTGGAGCATTTGAATCTGATGTGTTGAATTGGGATCAGCATCAGCTGGTTGGAGCATTTGAATCTGATGTGTTGAATTGGGATCAGCATCAGCTGGTTGGAGCATTTGAATCTGATGTGTTGAATTGGGATCAGCATCAGCTGGTTGGAGCATTTGAATCTGATGTGTTGAACTGGGATCAGCATCAGCTGGTTGGAGCATTTGAATCTGATGTGTTGAACTGGGATCAGCATCAGCTGGTTGGAGCATTTGAATCTGATGTGTTGAACTGGGATCAGCATCAGCTGGTTGGAGCATTTGAATCTGATGTGTTGAACTGGGATCAGCATCAGCTGGTTGGAGCATTTGAATCTGATGTGTTGAACTGGGATCAGCATCAGCTGGTTGGAGCATTTGAATCTGATGTGTTGAACTGGGATCAGCATCAGCTGGTTGGAGCATTTGAATCTGATGTGTTGAACTGGGATCAGCATCAGCTGGTTGGAGCATTTGAATCTGATGTGTTGAGCTGGGATCAGCATCAGCTGGTTGGAGCATTTGAATCTGATGTGTTGAACTGGGATCAGCATCAACTGGTTGGAGCATTTGAATCTGATGTGTTGAACTGGGATCAGCATCAGCTGGTTGGATCATTTGAATCTGATGTGTAGAGCTGTGTAGAGCTGGGATCAGCATCAGCCGTTGGGGCATTTGAATTTCTAAAGGGGGTTTGAAGAGCAGTTTGTAAAAATTGTTGTGAATGAAAGTAAGGAACATTGAAGGTTGGATATGGCCTTTGGCTTAACATAAACAATCTCTCGTCAAATCTTATCAATCTCTCAAAGTGTTTGTCCAAAATTGTTGGTGGAAACATAATGAAATGCCTCCTAAAACGAATAAAATTGTACAGTTTATATAATCAAACTTTAACGAGCATGTCTATAACCATTCAAAATCAAATAGATCGTTCAAACCTGCATGTCGAAGCTTGACCTCGGGTGAAATCTGATCCATCGACCCATTGGCTATGTGCGCCCACGTCTTTTTGTCCGAGTTCCTTATAAAATTTAGGTGGTTCTGATAGCTACAAAATTCGAATATTCAAATTAAAATAGTTTATAACATATTTGAAAAGAAAAGAAAAAGGAAGCAACCTCCACTTCAAGAACTCCGGGTTCATTTTTTTTCATTGCCGCTCTTATTCCTATGATATTTGACCAGTCAATTTCAATTTTTACTCTGCACCCATTGCTCGAGATCTCATAGCATAGCTGCTTCTTGACGAATAAGCCCTTTACGACCAACTTGTTCGTGTTCGACAGCGGAAGCTACAACAAAAACAAGAAAAATAAAAGATTTAAAAGCTAAGAAAAATCTTTGTAAAATAAAACAAACCCAAATGACTTTACCTGCCATTTGCCAATGTAAAGTTTCATAGGGTTCAAAATGGATACCCATAACTCTCTTTTATCGATATTACAATGCTTTGTTACAATGTAAGAAGCCTTTTTGCTTTGAAGTTTCTCTGTTTGTGCTGCCATCTCGATTGAATCGTTTAGAAAAAAGGCCGAAGAACTAAGAACTAAGAGCAGAAGAATTAAAAAATTTAGAAAAATCGGATCTAGAATCGAGAGAGAAAAATTGAGAGAGTTTTAGAGAACTACAAATTGATTAATGATATTTTTTTATGCCTTCAAAACAATTCCATCCCTATTTTATAGTTTGAATTTGAATTTAAAGAAATTAAATCTTTATCTTTTAAGATTAGGATTTTGAAAATTAAATCCTTATCTTTTTAAGATTAAAATTTTGAATAAAATCCTTATGCCTTCCAGAATCTTTATTTATTGCACTATTAACCGATGATTTTACTTTTATGTATATATATATATATATATATATATATATATAAATATAAAGTAGTGTGTGCTCATAAATATATATTTAGTAGAAGAAAAATTATTGGAACATATTCCATAAAAAGAGGGATGGGATAAAAGTGTCGATGATGTGAAATTACGAAAATGCCATTGAGGAGACTATTTAATTTTAATTTCTTATTTTTCAGTTATTCCAGTTTCCTGACAAATTTTGAGAATGTACATTCAACCCGACAATCCAACAACTCGAACCAACCTAACCCGAACTATAAGAGTTGGGTTGAGCTTATTTTTCTTACCCAAACGGTTTCGATTCGATTTTAGGTTCATGGAATTAAACCTCGACCAAATCAAATAAAAATATATAAAATATAATAAGAAATTTATAGTAATAATAGAAACTAGCTAATCTAATACATTAATTCTTTTAATTATTTAATTTTGTTTAGTTATATATATATATATATATATTTAAATATCTTAACATTTCATACTATTTTAAAACACATTAGTGTAATAAATTAATATAACTATTGGTACATTTTATACTATTAATTATGATTTATACCTATATATATATATATATATATATATATATGCTATAGTGTTCAATATTCATAGAATACTATTTGAATAATTTTAAAGTGTATTATTTTTTGTTTACCGATTATAAAATGAATTTTTTGAAACTGAAAACGGACGTTGAAGTTTTTTAGAATTTTTTTATTTTCCATCTATCATTTTTATCATCTGACTTTGGAAAGTAAATAAATTTAAATACCGAGTAAATAAGTTGTCCAAAATATTTTGACCGTTCTAGTGTTTACTGTACCTCCTCGATCAAGATGTAATACAAGCACGAGATTTTTTGATTATTTTAAGAATTCTTTTAACACCTAAAATAGGAGATACAAAATTGGATACAACATTGTTATATCACAATTTTATATATATATTTTTTTTATTTTTCCAATATTTAGGGCTTTCTAACTTTGAAGGTTAGTCTACTACCGATTAAGACAATTTGTTATGGCCTTAATGTATGTTTCACGTCCTAAACTCTTCCCATTCACTTAGAATTAAATAAAATTAACATTTGAGGGTTTATCTAAGTGATTCCTACCCGTAACTTTGTGAGAATTTGTACAAATATTTTCAATTAAAATATTTGTACAAAAAAATTCCCTCAACTCAACCCAACTTAGATCATGTGCAATCTACTCCAGATTAAGGCAATTTCCTATTCATTTAGAATTAAATAAAATGAACATTTGAGGGCTTATCTAAGTGATTCCTACACGTAACTTTGTGAGAATTTCGAGGTTGCTACTAATTCAATCATGTTTGGAAGCTCAGTTAAATTAAGTAAAACCTAATAGTAGTTTGAGAAAAT